CCAGAGAGTCAGTTGCTCTCCCTCACCCGCCTCCAAATCACGGCGAAGGAGGACGGGACCCAAACGCTGAGGCCAGCCCGGCCCTTGGCAGCGCCGCGCCAGGGGTCAGCAGAGCTCCCCGCCCGCCTCGCAGGGAAAGGAGTAAAGGGAGTAACCTGTGGCCGCGGCTGCGGCTCCTCCTCCTCCTCCCCCCCCGCCCCTTTCCCTCGCTGGGCTAAGGAAGCCGCCTTTCCACCTGCTGCCGGTGACGCTTGATCGTCTGGACGCGGAGAGAAGAGGCGAAGCGAGCGAGAAAGGAGGGCGGCGGCGACGACCCTGCTCTCCTCACACTTCTAGCAGAGGCGGAAGCGGGAAAGGGGGCTGCGAAATGGTAGGACTCTGGACCCACTAAGGAGGACGAGGGAATCGCGAGTCGGAAAAGTGTTACAAGGACCCGGCGAAGCGGGAGGGTCCGGCTGACTGACCCAACGGAGGTGAGTACTATAGTTGCCTCCCCCAGAAACAGGGAGAAACTCTTGGATGGCTGTTTCACACTGTTTTTGCCTGGAAAAGGGAGCGCTGCTGCTGAAACTCAGCCTTGGAAGAAGTTAAATATAGAAAATAGGGCGAAAGGGCAGTATTTTCTCAGTGTCGTTTGTGTGGCATAACCCATCTCTGCCCTAATGCTCAAGATCCAGGACAGAATGTTTCCTGGGCATGGGAACGCACTGCCTTCGAAAAGAAAGTCTCGATAGTTTATTCTCAGTTTTTATACAACTATAAAGCTTGGCCGAACGTGCATCAGTCGGGATTTCTGCCAGTTTGGTCGCAGTTTTTGCCAAATGACCTTCCAGTATCTAATTCAAAACAATGGGAGAACTTGAGTTTTGTGAAACCCGTTTTTCTGAACTTCACAGTTACCCTTTGACTGGGTGGGGATGGTGTGTATGCAATTCAGTAGCAAATGCTGCAACAGACATTTCTCTCCCCCCCTCCGCCCCCCAAGGGATTAGCAAAAAGGTTTCTTAAATGTTTTCTGATGTGAAATCCTGGGAATTAATCACTATATCATCAGACAAATAGAGCAGTTGGCCATAATTGTTCCTAGACTTTAATTAGGATAATTTGATATGTTTAACAGCAGGATTTCTCATCCATATTGAATAACTGCATAGAAGTATACATAGAGGACGAGAGTTTTCTTTTCTCACCCACAAATTGCAAGCTTACTATAAGGACAGCTAGTATTATTATGCATTTTGTATCCTGGAATTAGATACGAATGTCATATGAAAGAACATGGCATTTTTATAAATTATGATCTTACCCTTGACAGGCTGCTCATTATACACTTTATCAAAGTCCTGCCATGTATACACATGGATGCTGTTAGCAAATCATGTGGCTATGGATATTTCTGCCCAGGTACAAAAAGGAGAAATAAAAGGGAGACATTGTCTGTACAGTAGTCTTTTACCAAACCATAAACAATCAACAATCAGTCTGTATCTGGGCATTCAAGAACCTAGCTAAATTTCAAATCTGATCTGAAATGTCTAAGCATTCCGAGTATCTGAATTTTCTAAATATCACCCTGTATTTTCATGTGAGTGTGCTGCCAAGTAAACAGACATTAAGCATATCAAAACTTTCAGGTTTTCCAAAATGTTCTACTGCATTAACCCGATCTAGTTCTTTGATTGTCTAGAGAAAAGAATGGCCCATTTAGAAGTCCCACTTGATTGCTATTTTTGGTTAAAAGGATCTGTTATGAAACAAGAGGTTGGAATATATTAACATTGCTGTGGAAAAATATAGAAAAAGTCAGGATGGTCTGTGTACTAAGCAAAATGAAAGCAAACTCAGGGCTGATTTATTTTCTAGTACCACAATATGGCAGCTGATTTTCCATGGCTTCTTTGTACGTTGTTTTACTAAAGTTTTAAGGCCAGAATTATATGTTGGGGTACAGAGAATGCATCTAATTGTAGCACAGTTGGAAGGCAAGAGGTCCACATCCATGATTGGTCCTAGTTACAAACGTAATTCTGGCAGTATAAAAATACATTTTAAAAGCTTCAAAGAAAGCATTTCTCATGCTACTTCAATAATACTTATAACCCTTTTGCACCTGATTTGTGACCCAGCCTTTCATTCCACTTCACAAGATGATTTTAAAAAATGGCTTTCAGATTAGTTATGCATGCAATATGGAAATTGACTGCTTGTATCCCAAATCTTGTGTCAGGATTCAAATTGTTCAAAATTTGGTAGGCTTTCTATTTTTTTAAATATGTTTTATATTGAAAATAAATTATGCAGTCATACTAAATAGGATTCCAGTCAGTGATAAACACTTTAAGTTACTGGAACAGTTTTTATCAACTGAGCGCAATAGCAGTCCTCCACCCTGATATCAGTGAATACTGATAGCAGTATTGTGAACCACCAAGTCATGAGGACTGTTTAAGTTTCAGATCCAGAATCTGCACTTTTTGTCAGATTAAAATATCATCAGGAAGCCAGACCAGCCCAGTTGAGAGAGGGGGAAACCTGTATAACCTGTATTCAAACTTTTGCTCAGTTCATGGAAGGCTTCTATAAATTGCAACTTCTTAACCTTAGGACTTCCTGTATAAAATCAGGGTGTTAATGTCTTTCTAGGATTTCAACATTTGATAATACAGTTCCTAAAATTACATAAAATACATCTGTATAGCAGAAACTTCTGTTAAGGTCCAGCAGAGATAAGAATTGAACAAAACTGCCTACAGGCAATACATTCTGTAAGAAATAAATATTTAGGCAGGCAGTAAACAGAGATATTTGTTCTTAGCCTGACAAAATAATGATCCTTTTTATTTTTTTTTAAAAAAAGCAATAACTACTAATAAATCACTAATATTGATTAATATTTCAAATAATTATTTGGGGATCTTAGCGAAAGTGAGCCCTTATTCAGCTTTGTGTTATAGTTTTGATATTTATCATCAGTTTTTGAAATGGTATTTCTACTTCAGTACTATGACTCTGGGTTGCAACTTCAAGAAAACTTCAAGTAATCTTGTGGTTTATGACAACAACATAACGAGTAAAGTATTTCTGGAGAATGGAATTTAAGTGAATTCGTATGGAATGAGTAACGTCGCTGCCTGTCATGCACCTGCCAGTGTGTTCTGTGATATCTACATGTTCCAGTATGCCTCCCTCTTGCCGTAGAAAAGGGATTGTGTTGTCATGCTATGGCTCGGTATTCTTAGAATACTTCCAGCAGAAGGCCCCTATTCAGAGCTCCTCGCTTGCAAGCTAGAAGTGAACTTACAGTAAACCATCTGCATATCAGGGATCAAACTACTTTGTGGATGTGTGCTTCTTGCTCTGTTCTACCAAGTCAGCAGGCAATGTGGGCAGTATTGTTTCCTCCCCTTTGCCTTTCCTCCCCTTCAGTGGTCAACCCACACATTCTGCTGACACTACGTATGTGTAGCTATAATCACAATATGGAGCAACAGGCATAAAACTAAGCTTATTTTCAAACAGACATGGTTAAGAATCACTATAAGTACTTTCAGTTTCACCGGAGAATGTCTGATCTATAACCAAGTCAGGTTAAAGAGCTTGGTAGCCTCATTTTCTCTAGCCCTGAGATGAAAAGTAGGTGGCATTAATGAGAAGATGGAAAACACCACATAATATATTATCTACTTTTTCAGAGACAAATTGTATTTATTTTTACCCACGCCTGGAAAGAGATTGGACAGATTCACCCATAGCACTAAGCCATAATTCTGCCTGTTTGATTTTGGTGAGCTGCGTGAATCCTGCCAACAGTGACTTATTCAGTAAACCACAGTGAAATAAATCATGGCTTAGCATAGTGTGTGAACCCAGCCAGTATGTTGCTGTTCCATTTTTTCTCTTCCTTGGTGGATATTCTGCAATAAGAAGAAAGGTAGAACAAGTGATGAAAAAAGAGAAAATGATAGCACTATCTAAAACCTGCGTATATGTTATGTCTGGCAACTGGACATTAAAAGGCTCATCTCAAAGCATCCCTTTGGACTCCTTTCCAGATATTGTGCAAACTATAACCAGCCTAGAGTGGGATAGTGATTGCAGGCTTGAAACTAGAATTAAATGGACCGAAAATGACATAATAAGATGGATTCAGTTTGCCAGCCCTCTTCCTTACCCCCTTTGTAGCATATGGAATTTATGTTTACGGTTGTAAACTTGGTTGGGTATCAGCAATGCCAGCTGCTATATTTGTGCCCCAGGATATTTGCTCAGATACAAGAACAATAAGCCCGATTTGTGGCAGAGCTACAGAACCAAGAGCAACTCATGCAATCTTATCACCAGGCATGCAGCCTTTATTTGAAAATGCATCAGGGCTTCAGACTTTATCCAAGTTATTATTCCTGAAGGCTGAAAGGAATGTTGTTCCTACAACAGAAACAAATACAGGTGATTAATCTCAGGAATGATAGAAGTAGATTCATGTTATGAACAGCTTTCTTATTACCACAAGCTATAACTTGTATAAGGCTTTCAGGGCGTCCAGCAGTTTCTCTTCTGGAGAACATTTGCTAAACCAGAGAAACTTGTCAGAGCCCAAACAGAAGAAGGCAGTTCTACTGAGCATTTGCTGTTGGCAATATCTTCGGTCCAACTGTGATAAGGTTCGTAATTATACCAGGTCTGATATATACTGTGGTTTGTAGAGTAAGCCACGGTTGGCTGGTCTCACGTGTGCTAAACCACAACCTGGTTTACAACCCATAATAATTGAGTTTATGCAACTCAGTATGCCCAGGTCAAGCATATCATATTTTGGCTTAGTGCAACTTGTGAACCCAGTCTGGGTCTGGTTCAGTAAAACTGAGTCCAGTGGCTTTTATAAAGAGCAAAATACTCCAGTTAAGTTGTTGATAACTCAGAAAATAAAAAAACAACAATAAGCAGGCTTGAAGTAGATGTAAAAGAAAGAAGAAGGAAGGGAAGTATCTTCTTTGAACTTGCAGTTTCTGGTTCTGTTCTGCTCAACCTCATGGAGCCAAACTTTGGATTGCAGTGAGCTTGTCCATTCCTTTGTTTTTGACATGTGGCAATCATTTAGTGAATTTTCTGGTCTAATGCTATATAGAAGGAGTGTGTGTGTGTGTCTACGCATGCGTGTGCCTTCCAGTCAGTTTTTGATTCCTGGTGACTGCCTGGACTAGTCCTTGCATGTTCCTTGGCAAGGTTTTTTTTTTTTGGAAGTGGTTTACCATTGCCTCTTTCCTAGGGCTGAGAGTGAGTGACAGGCTCAAGGCCACCCAGCTGGCTTCGTGGTTTCTAGCCTGATACCTTAACCACTACACCAAACTGAGTCTCATATAGACGTTAGGAAGCTAAATTTGTCCAAGAGACATACACGCTAGTTCCAACTTTGAAAATTCTGCCAGACTTGAGTCTGATTCTGAAAGATTGCATGGGCATATTACATTGCCCC